CAGCTCGTGTTCCTTGAACCAGGTTGACATTTTCCTCCATGCTTGTCCCACGTAGTGTTTGCAACAATCCTTGCATTGAATTTTATAGATAAAATTTGTCTTCTCCATTGCACTGAGTATCGCCTTTGATTTTGATAGTGCTCTTCGCACCATGTCCGTCGGTCTGTGGACAACTCTTATGGCATGTTGTCGTAGTATCCCTGCGGTCATCTCCGAAATGTTTTTGACACATGGTAGTGTGACTGTTTTGTTCGTGCTTCCGGTCGTCTATTTGGTTGAACTGCATCTTCTCAGAGATCTCCAGATGAAATTTATTGGATAAACGTCTCTTTGAAATATTTGTATAGGCATTTTTGTTCATTTGCCCTGGATTCTACTCTGCCGCATTGTGTTTCACTTCTCTCGAATAGTGTCCGAATGCAGAATTCGATCAGTTTGTGTAGTCTTTGTGTGGACGTCCGTTTGCCTTTTTCTATTTGGCAACCTTGTGACGAGGACACCTATAAGTGCCAGCTTGCTGTTTTTTTAGCTTCCACGTGAATTTGATGTCATCAGAAACACTGTTTATCAATCGGATTGCTCATCGTATTTCGTTATTTTTGATGATGACGAAGGTACCGTTTACACAATGTATCCACAGTTTTGGGTTGATGTCTGGTAGTATGGTCCTCTTCAGTTTTACACTGTGATCTCGACGATGAACCTTTGAATTGGTGAAGCCATTATTGCTCCTTTGGGCCGTTCGTAGTATTCACGGCTGAATCGAAGTAGGTGGTCAACTGAGGTTGAGCAGTTCACAGATGTCTTCTCTTCTGAGAGATTCGCCGGTAGATTCATGACTGTCCAGTAGTTCAGCGACTGTTGTCTTCGCGGAACAGGGGGTCCACTGATGTGAACAGTGAGCTGACATCAAATGACACCATTGTTCCGTCCTCTTCTATCGTCACGTTCTTTAGTTTGTGCGTTTTTAGGCGCGCACTGATAATATCTCCACGTTTTGCGATGAAGCATTTGTAACTTAATTTCCAACAAACCAACAGTCACCTGATCAAGAACCAATAATGCGTTCTGTTTCATGTTTTTTTACATTTATTGATTTTGTCGTTTCTCTAGCTGTTTTTGGTTCGAACTGGCGCTTCCTAATCTTATGATTTTCGCACCAGTCATTCTTTCTGTCCAGAATGCGAAGTCACCAGTGTTAATTGCCCTAAAATATGTGTCATCCAGCACATCTTCGTTGGCAGGTATGCACCGGTGAGGCGGCCAGAGGATATTTCTGAAAGATGAAACTTTATTGGATGTGATGTGTGTTTTAGTCAGTTAACATTCCCATAAAATAAAGTTCCTGCAATAACGTGTCAAATCCATCGCAGTTTTAATGTGCCATCCGTAGTGCTAATGCTTTGAAATGAACTATTGCAAAGAATTCTCTTAGTGCACTCGACTTTGGTGATCATGTCCCCGAGATGTCTCCAAGAACTGATATGACGTTGGTAGGCTTCATACAGGAAAAGACAATGCTGTGACTCATGCTGGTCAGGCGAACTGCTCTTTTTACTTGATGAAACAACCCACTTGAATAGACTAAAAGGGGAATTAACCTCGTTTGTTACTTGCACAGCATTATAGAATGTGCTGGAGAATATATCTTCAGGAGGTTTGATAATATTAAAAACTTGGCTCATACTCACTGGTGTCAGAATAGGTTGACGTAAGATTCCAAAGACTTGAAATTTTTTCAACTGGATTGTACACACAACGACAGTTTTAATCAACGAATCGCTTTACTCTATGCCAGCGCACGTAAAGTTCAGTTTGGGCGAAGACACATGCTGCCCAATCACGTCTGTCGTGGGTGTACAAAATACTTTATTAAACAGGGGAGTTTTGGTGTTTGTCGAGAACTAGTGTGGATGGATCAGGCTGCGTTTGCGGTACGGTCACTGATTTCCGACCTTGGTCTTGTTGGGGCAATTCTGAATATTGTCCAGCTATACGTTCTTTGTCAGTGTAAAATCAGTTCAAATGTTACAACTCTTCTTCTTCGAACTCAAAGTGTGATCGATGCATATAGTTGCTTGATTATATTCATATACAAGATTGCCGGGTCAGACATCAACACAGGTGTGCCTCTTTTGGACGAAATACTTTGCTATCTGTGGTATAGAGATAACTTGTTCTGGTTGGGAATCGCGTGTAGTGTTCAAAATCTGACATGCATATCGGTCGATCGGTTTTGCGCGGTTTGTTTTCCGAGTCAATATAAAATACGTCAGACACAACTTATCATTGGATGCTATATATACGAATTCGGGATGACTTTGTTTTTGTTCATTCCTAACTTCTTCCTGCGCCGCTACAAATCAAACCGATGCTACTCTCAATATGCCATCGATGGACCTACTATCATACAATTTTTCCAGGTGCAAGCTTATCTATGGATGTTCTTCAACTACCTGCTACCCGCGGTTATTATGATTAGTTCTCATGCATACATCATTCATGTGTTACGCCATCCGACTCCTGGCCAACAACGTGATCGACAAGTCCAGAATAATGTCAGAAAGCTAATTCTGACAACATCGCTGATGGCAGGTCTACTTCTGCTGCTCCATTCGTACGAGGCGATCAGATATATTCTGGCAAATTCGAACATAATTCGCTACGCTGCTGGCACTGCGACCCAACAAGTTGGTACCCTACTCATCACGCTGAGTAGTGTCTTGAACCCATGTGTTTTGATAGCTACGTCCTACACAGTACGCATGCAGGTGATTCGAAGTGTTTTGCGTTATGATGTCGCCAACACCAACGTGTCTCGAACCAAAGAAACCAACTTCAACAACTGAGAACCGAAAAATGTGTTATTCCGTTTAATTCATCATATCGCAACATTCTCATCATGGTCACTGTCACTTTATCGTTACATTTATAAACTGACTGATTTCATCTAGTTTCCATTTCTTGCGGCTAAACAGTGCTGGATAATCAATGCGTAATGTTTGCTATCGCACTCCCAACAGGGTAGCGCGACATTATCGCCGTTTTCTTTCGGGTAGTTCCCAATGCGGTTACTAAATAAGTGTCCATTTTGGTGAACTGGTCAACACCTCCGGCGCACGATCCCCGGAGAAATAACCGCAACTAAATTTTTTGATCAACATGCAATCAAATGCAACAATTTGATTTCTAGCAGTGTATTTGATTTGTATTTGTACGAGGACTGATCGCAATCCGGGAATCAGTGTAACTGGTCACGGTATTCAAACAACTTAACATAATATGACGTGGATATTCGCATACCCTGCGGTTTCCACAAATCTATCATTTTATACACTTGGAATAAACTTACCAAAACCGACGTGGTGATTCTGGTATTGTTGCATGAAACCTTCCAGGATTTGCGTCGATTCTGTCCTTATTGCGGATGGTCGGATGTGGCAGTTTTTTGCTCAGAATCATGCAATGAGGTGAAGCCTGAGAATGCAGCCGAATATTGTGCTTCCCTCCCGATGTCAAAATGAGCTTCTTTTTGAGTGATACACCTGACGGATGGGTGTGCCATGTCAGTAAGCTTATGTGTTGTGTGCGTGTGTGTTGAAAGATCACCAAAAATTCGGGATTACTATTCTGGGTCCAGGTGGAACGTGAGTTTGGTGGAAAGTCGTGAAATTTGTCTACCTCTTGAACTCCAAGAAGAGTGGAACACACCGTAGACTGTTGTGGAGCTTTCCTCAACCTTATGCGCTGTTGTTTTAATGAAAATGTCTTCTGGTTATTCATTGAAAACGATCGACGATGGTTGGTTGTTGACTGCTGTGGTCCACAAATCTGTGCTCGATGGAAGATAATAAGACCTTTCAATTTCTAATGCGAAACAACTTTTAGCGTCCGGACACAACCTCCTAAATGAAGATGGTCTAATCTCGTTTGAATTTCTTTGTAGCCTCGAGTGTTCAACCGTCGCTCTCTTTGGCGGATGTTGCGGGTCGGGTGGCTGGATGCAGCTGAGCGTCCGAAACAGTTGATGACCAACCGCGTCCAAAATATACCTTGGTTGGTTGCGCTTGTCCAATGGTCGCGCTTCCCATATATCGGGTTCGAAACTCGCAGCCCTGCAACTGAATATACACAGTCTTCGCCGCTTCCACTACCATGCACAGGATCACCATCCTGAACGTTTGGTTAGTAATAAAATGACCCATTCATGGACAAAATTAGTAGGTGTTGTCCTAGTATTGCCGTGATTCGACGATCATGGGAGGAACCTACAGATTTACAGAAGGATAAAAACTGTGGAATCCACCTCCCTTTATGCCGAATCAAATTCCACAAAAATGGTGGGGAATATACCGCCTATGGGGTTTCGCAAGTGTTTCATCGACCGACATGAGCTCAAGTGATAATAATGCGTTAAAATTTAATTGACTTCGGGAATGCACCGCAAGCACTGGCTGAGTGAACCCGTGGAGCCATTTATGCAACTGTTACGCAGACATGCTTTCTAGTATCAGTCAAATAATGTTACATTATGCTAATCGCTTGCGTTCGACGATATGTTGCCAATATAAAGGTTGCGTCGATAGACACAATACCTCAACATTTCGTAATATTTAGCCCAGCACAAACCTGTCCGACATACGTTGTCGCACTTGTCGGCCCCACAGTCTGTAGTATGATCACCTGGACAGAATCTGATACTGTTTCCAGATTCCGGATGAACATATCGGGCTAGCGGTAGAAAGGAGAATGACCTGTAGCGTGGGACGTCAGGAAATCGGCGGTATTCGACGTTCGAGAGGATGTAGCGACGGCATACGTCGGTTCTGAAATGTGCAGACGGTATTACTGAATCCACACGGCACACACAGCACACATTCGCACAGGTCGGGTGACACAGGAAAGAAGACCGGAGAGTGGCAACAACACACGTGTATTCCACCGAAACCGAAACCGGAATTCAGGGATACAAAGCTAGGTCAAAGTCGGTCAGGGGGTGGTCAATCAGCTACTCTTTCCTGTCCGGGGCTCTGGTGGCTCGACCTTGGTATCTGTAACAGGGAGAGAGGGAGGTAGAGGCACACATAAGCTCATGTGATAGATGTTCATGCAGATACAGTCGAGTTTCAACTGCGTTATAAACGTACACTAACATAGTCTATCCGTCGCATGTAACGCAGGACCGTTCCGGCCTCAACAGATTTGACCTCATTAACACTCCAACCGCCTAAAATACATGTGTCTCGTTGCTTGTTTCAACCACATTTCTCCGAAAGGCCAAATGTGAGGCCATGTGTAGCGGGTTGAGATTCATGCTTGATAAACCAGACAGGAAATAACCGAAAAGAAATCTCGCTTTTCGTGTATACACATACAGTGGCTTATTTTCGACTATACTGAGATTTGTAGTGCAGTCATCTGGTCGCCAATGTGAGGCGCAAAAGCGCTGTATTGTCTTCCCAGACGCGAATTCACCATTAAGCACTTGCCAACTTGGGTGATGCGTAATGTTTATTTGGTGGCTTGGACGACAACTAACTGTATGTTCTGGGCCTCTTCCATTTCCTTGAATTTCTGTGTCCACCACAGTTCATGGTTGGCTCGCACGCGCACTTTGACTTGTAGTCTGACATTTTGTGGCATCAAGTTATGTTCGAGTCCGGGATATTTCTCCGAGGTTTAAGCACTGCAACCGTTCGGTCTGATATCCAGTACTTAAGCCCCCCACTGGTCGTACCGTGCCACAGGCGAAATTCCGAGCACTATCGAAAAAGGTGGCACTCTTTTCGGTATGAGTTCATACCTGATGGTGAAGCATTTGAAAGAGACTCTAAAAATTGATTCTGGTTAATTCGTGTGACATCCGGATCCGCCAGTCTCTCAGTAGCCAAGCGATTCGGAGCTGCGGGCAGTCGGGGCGTATGCAGACACTTTAAAAAGACATTGATCAATTTCCCGCTTGTGAGACTCCTTTACAGAATTTCTAAGACGAACCACACAGCGTCGACTATCAAAACATATCTAGTCGAGCAAGGATACTTCCGTCCGGTTACTTAGGACGATACCAACACCTACACATACCAGAGATGCGTCGTCGGAAGCGAATGGAGAGTGATGGAGCGGTTAGCTCAACCACTGTGCTTGAATCTTGAATTCGTTTACTTGGTGGCTCAGATGACAAATAACTGATTCTTCTGTTTATGCCATCCGGTCTTTCACCCCTCAACACAATCCGGGCAAGTCGCAATTGGGCGTTATGGACCGAGAGATGTACCGACCAAATTTGTGCTTCGAACCATTCCATCTGTTCCAGATGTCATTATTTGTACAAGCAAGGCGTAATCTCTCGTTTATTCAGATTATCAAGCGCATGTGATATATCATTGGACTGAAGGAGAACAGCGCCTAGAATCTGCGGCGCAATCAGAAGCAATATAAGTCAAATGACGGCGAATGCTGAGTGTGGAATACACATGCCTCAGAACCTCTGTATTATCACTATGTATACAACATACTGTATTGAGTCCAACTTGAATACATGATAATTTCTTCATTCATTTGCACTAGTTTTGCTCAACCGTACCCACCATTCACCTTACCTCAAAGGGCGCTCTGTGTGTATGTGTGGGTGAGCGAATCTACTAAAATGACCTACCTACCGATACGTGTTCGTACCGTGTTTGGTGGGCCATCCCTGGTTGTTCTGTCGCGATTTCCGATGGAAATCACAAGACGACCTCAACAAGCGGTACCGAACAAAACATCCCACTTGCCGCTGTCTGATGTGCTGACATGGACACTACTACCAACCACCGTAGGCGCTCAAGTGTTGACACCATGAACATGGCCAACTGTGGTTTGTTGTGTGATTTTACTCATATTTGTGTAACCAGTGCCGTAGAATTTTGACCCTAATCCCTCCTTTCGATATTCGGGATCGTCAAAACCACGCATGACACAAGGCCCCGTGTGAGATTTCCCAACGAACTGATTCGGGAAATTCGACCACAGCCGGTCGGTTAGTGCGAAATTCGTCCACGCGTTGAAACTAGACATCATGATTGTTAGTCGTTCCCTACCAGACGTTATAATTGCTAACAACCCTAAGACAGTTATCTAGGCCGTGAAAATACATATCACTCTCATCATTCGTTCTCCATCCCGATATCGTGGTACTGACACACCAATTCATCCCACCAAAAATGATTAAACGAAGTTTAAGCGTGGTTCGTCCATGTGCCATTATATATATACTTTCAGATGGCCAAGGCGAATTCCACCCAGGATAGAACGTCTGGTATTTTCTGTTTTTCTGTTACTCGTTCATGAATGAACAACTTCCCGTTTTGCAGTGCACCAACAACAACCAGCCTTACTACCTCTGAAAACTCAAATTGACTATGTCTCTATTGGAGCAGTGGTAGAACCATGAACGGGATGAACGTCTGTCAATAATAAACGAACTTCTGACTCCCATTTTCTGCCGCCGCCTTACCGGTCAGTTAAATCCGTTTGCAGATATTCGTCTGGCTTTCGCGCCAGCTGGTGTGTTGAAAAAGTGTGCAAAACGTTCCGCAGGAATTAACTGGAACCAATGCAATGTCTGAGTGCAGAATGTCTTGTGAATGGATATTTCGACCACAGGTGAGCAGCTAACGCGAGGCTGTTCAGCTTGACAAGTAACTGAGAAGTTGGTGCTCGCAAAAGTTCAGTAGATCGTGCCACATGAGTGGATCCACCTATTCTAACTGTCTCAACATTTGGAATAATTGACTGAACAGTCGTGGTAATGCAATCGACGATAGACGAATGGAAACTGACAAAACTTGGAGCAGGCTGTTGGGTAGTAAGGACAACTAATTTGTAGTGCTTCGAGACAGCAATGAGATGGTGAAGCTCTAAATGAAACTTCAAGCAATGTTATAAATTGAGCAGAATTGTTCTGGTTTAACAGGCTAGTTCGATATCAGTTATGGTGGTTTTCTGAGGAACCAAGTATGGGTTGAAACGATTATTCATCACACCTTTTGACTTTGAATCTTGTCATTTGTTCATCAACATGTTCAATATGTAAAAGCTGCTTGGCTTTTGCGGAGAATTGAGGCATTGGGATTCGGATTTCTTGAGTTGTTTTGGAGTGCTCTCTGGGATTTTGGCTCCTAAGTGGACGTTTGTTCTGCCAGTGCAACGGGATTAGTCGATACAATCACATTGGTGTACTAGTTCGGATTTGTTGGCCAAAGGCACATTCGTTTGGAAGAGATGCGCGTGGTTACTCTAGGTACTTTGGGCATTTGGTGAGCGTTTTAGATTCGTTTGATGGCTTCTAATACGGTGTTGTTTTATCTCCTCTGAATGGTAACGGGAGGTACACCGGGTTTTTGAAATGCCAGGAGCACCCCGTATTTTTCTTGATGTTCTCAGTAGTTGTGTGTGAATCTGAGTGGATACCTCTTTTCAATCGGTCACTGTGTAGTTGCATCCCCTACTCTACAGTGGGAACCAGCGTAGATGCAACATGTATCATCTGAGTCAGGCTGTGGAATCTATTGAACTTCTCGGTGTATGAGAAGTGATTGAGGGCTACTTCATTATTTCGTTTGCACTTCGATGCTTTTCAGCATGCAAAGGGCTCTCCGATGAAGTCAAACACTGACTTACATAGCGACCTAGAATACCTCGATCATGATGTCATAGTGTAACCCTTAGTCCCTTTTGTTTCGTCCTAATTCCACTTGTTTTCACGGATTTTATTTTGTCGTTTGTTTCTGTGCTTTAAATTCCGTGAGATATGGTGACGGAAATGTGCTAGCGGCGGTTAGCTCCGGGTTAGGCGTTTGGGGCACTCAAATATTCGGACCATTTCTTGAGATTATTATGCATCATTGGTTATTAGTTCCCACAGGTCATTGAGGCGAATGGAGGCTTTGAACTGAATAGTGACGGAGGATCTATTCTCATATCACAGATGTCCTAGATCAGTGTGTAACGATGTTTGCGTACAATGGAATCGCGTATGCTGATAGGACTCCTGTCTTCGAGAAGAGTGATTTGTGGGGTGACGTCTTTGGGGTGGCTGTTTGAATTCAGATTGTGAGATCTTCATCCCACTCCTCAATCCAATCCGGAGGTTAATATCTTTTTTCACTTATAGTTATTTAGCTGTGACTAACTCCTTCAGTCTAATAAATGACGAAATTTTTATTTTCTTTTTCTATTTTTATTCTGATTCATTTTGTTCACGGTGTAATGATTTCGTCTATGATCGTTTAGATAATGCGAACTATAACTTGTTTGATCGAATCTTGGATGAAACGGGGCGTTTGAAAAGCCGTGCTATAATTAGCCTTTTAGTATCAGTTGTTGGTTTGACGAAAACCTGTCTCAGTCATAAACCGCATTCATCTTCTGAAACTTCTACGAATTGGAACATTTCAGTGGAAAATTTAATTCCTTCAAGGGAATTTCAAGGGCCATTTCATTCCTCTACGCACAGATGACTAGTGCAGCCGTCTACTTTTGAAAGCGGTACTTCCAAGTGAACCAATTTACTGATTCCAAGACACTGATCTTCTGCTACGTATCGGGGGACCAGAAGGCCAGCTGTGACCGATAACGCCTTATTTAAACTTCTGTCGAATTCATCGGTCAGAATTGCTGCAACTTATGGGATCGACACATGTGGCTTTCGTGAGTAAGTCGTTTGACTCATCCAATCACTCCCGTTTGCGAAAACTGAAGCGTCCTTTGCGGCAGTAGAGCTAATCCTGGCCATGAAGATAATGATCGTTAATCAGCCTTGCGTTCGTTTGTTCATTTTGATGAACAGGAACACATGGAACTGCGTACGAACTTTCCAGTAAGTCATTTAAACAAATGGCCAAAAAGTTCTACGAGGGCACGTTGCAGACCCGAAGAAACTAGGCAGATGGAAGATACAAGATTTGTGGGAAACCCCAAGTCAGTCTATTCAAGAACGCTGTTGATCATGTGGAGGATCACACCCTGTGAGTTCATTGAAGTTCCTTTGACATTCCAAGCTTGCCCTGAGGCTTAGCTGAATGGATTGCTTTACTCTGCAATCATTTGCTCTCAGCGAGTACTCACTAAAATGCTCCAGCATAAAATGATTGAGCTGGTTGAGCAGACAGACAGAGNTCGGCATTCCTTTCGGACCTCCGGATTTGTACATCCATACAGGAAACTGCTTAACACATTCCCTCAGAATCTTCCGAAATGTCTGGCTAAATGTTTCGGTGGGTGTTTTCGCGAGACCCTGCTGCTTAGTAAGAAGTTAGAGGAAAATATAGATTAGGAGGAGATGCATGAGGCAGAAAGAAGGGTGAACCTTGCTAGCAATGCTTGCAGAACAATTACTTTATCCTACGGAGGACAAAGTCGCCTGGGTTCACTGGCATCTAATTAGGTATTAGGAATGAAACTCTCCATAGAACGGACGATAAGCAATAACACCCCAAACGTTACGTTGCAACAGAATTAAGAGACGGTGATTCACGAGCAAATAGGTGAGACTTTTGGAACCGAGATTGTAAGCGTAAAATTTCCAGTCGTACAAAATTATAGGAGTATTGCAATGCCATTCATGTGTGGCGTGCAAAACCGTGAACTGTTATATATCACACAGCTTATCTTATATCCTGACCTAGTCTCTGATTCTACAGTCTGAGAATGCAGTGCTCATCTACTCTATTCATATTTTCACCGACATTCAGGTTGGTCTATACTATTCACCATTTTCTTCATAGCTTCCTCCATATGCGAAAATGACATCATACACACATAGATTCCGATTTTTCAGAGGTCACGCGCACTGAAATTGCTGGTATTCAGCTGCTTTTTATAAACTTCTGTTACCAAACAGACCGGTGTATTTTGGGTCCTCTACTGTGTGAATGCCTTTGGTGAAGTAAACTGCTAACTAAATAGGCATATTCCATTCCACTTCTCAGATGAGTGACAAATAAAATTAATGTGTCCCACACGGAGACTGATGATTTGGTAGTACCTAATGTTTGCACTTCACATGGTTCATTTTTAAGTGGAGATCAACAGTTGGATATCATTTTTGGTTCAACATTTTTTATCATTCAACGAGGGGAAATCAATCCAGAATGAAACGAAGTATATGTGAAATCCTGTCCGATCCACCGGATCGAACTTTACTACTAGCGAACCAACCAACTCACCTACTCGGTGCGTCCTACGGGTTGACCAATAAGGTTGACCGATCAACTTTTGAGCGTCCGAATATTTGACGAACTCATAGCTAGTGCCGTCCACAAACGGATCACTACAATGGCACAACGCACCTCCGAATTGGACAGAATAAGTAGAACAGGAACCACGGTAGGTGGGTAAATAGGAAATTCTGACTACTCGTAAGTAGCCGAAGTTAATATTGCTGTGAATTCCCTGACTCCAGAGACAAATCAACTATCCACACACGACTGATCTTTTTATTGGCAGCAGGTGTCGCTGTCAGTCATGTGCTTCTAAGTATGAACACTCCAAGGAAGGCGTTGAAAATTCAGAATCCGTCTGAATGGTTACATTTGGATTCTGGAACTCATACGCCAGCAACTGTGCGAATTTGAAATTCACCTGCGCGCGGATGATAAAGGTTTTCAAAACAAACTAAGTGATATTGAGTAACTCCACAGGGGAGAATCCAACCAGTATTCGAAGTAGGACACGCCTAATTTCTGAACCGATTTTGAGAGGATTATTTGAACTGATATATTAATGAAACGCGCAAAAGTACTTTGAAGAGCCGTGGATGAGGCAGTAAAATTCGCCGGCCTGTTTGTTCGGCAGTCCGTAATTTCAGAGCGTCGGTAGGCAGCCATATGCGGTTTTAGAAACCGAAAGTTGTGACAGCAAACAGCATCAGAGATAGCTGCGGAAACATTTTTCTAGGGCTTAGCAGACGAAACATGGCTCAGTGTTCATCAGAAGACGAATATTCCGAAAAGTAACCATGATCATGATCATTATTATTATTATCACTATTATTATTGTTATTACGCTTGCAAATCAAAACGCCGTGCAACGGTTAAATTCTCTTGTTCCGAGCATCAAATACTTGAGGCATTAAATGAACGAACTAGATGTGCTTGCATTTTTTCATAGATTTTAGGCGTGACTGGGTTACTCTCCCACAAAAAATCACGCAAACTGAATTATTCTCAAGTGCTTATCATTCAGAATGTGCAGATTTATGGTAGAATGAATTTCGAAAGCATTATTGAAGAATAAGGAACTCATTTCAGTGCGTGTGTGTGAGCCAGTTGATTCATTTTATTTGTATAGTGATGGAGAAAGCTGGTTCGCTCTGATTTAAAACCCTCACTGGGGAAACAAATTCCCCATAAAACCGTGTGTTGAAAAGCAAATCAGCATCAACCAATGTTTGAACAAATAAACATGAAAATGAATCGAGTGCATGCAAACAAAGATTTCTACAAATTATTTTAAAGGAAAGGGAAGTCCAGGCAAATCAGACACCTTTTTCCGGCCCGCGCACTTTACTCGACAAAGAATGTTAACGAACAATTGTGTTTTCTACCTTGTTCTGAAACAGCCTGGGAGGATCGTCATGTGAGCGGACGAATGGTATCAATGCGCCGACATCAGAAAATATGTTACGCCCTAGCAGTTGCTTATTAGGTTGGTGCATTTATTTCAATTGCTTTCATGTTATTCGCACGTTCAGAGAAATCTCTTCATCAATTTGCCGGACCGATGCCAAATGTAAATGTGAATGAGTCTAGTTTTTGAGATCAAATTTGAAAGGGGAAACATCAAAGATTATTCAGGGATCACCTGGAGTGACGTTCGCGTTCGCGTTGATTTTTAAATATTCACTTATTGGCAGATTACCGCGGGATTAGTCGGCAACTAATATGAATCTGAAACAAACCTCTTGCTCTAGAACTTTTTTTACATAAATGAGTTACAAAATCGCCAGTCACATTTTAGTTTTCAGAAATAATCGTGATGACGGATTTTTTACTGCGACAACAGTAATTCTAAATTTGATGAAGGGAAATTTTGTATCACATAACAACAACTTTACCAAAATTGCTGGCCTTACCGAATCCATCGAATCCCTTTCTGGGTGACACGACCAGCCGACCGAACCGAAAACGCACACCGGAAAAATGGACGACTATTTGTTTGGTGAGCTGAACTATTTAATCCAATACTACTTAGTCCCATTAATAAACGAAGTAAAATCGCTGATGCGTTCCTGGAGAAAGTGTATGAATGGATGGTGGGTACATTTTCAAATGAAGCATTGCAACTCAAGCCACTTTGATGAAGTGGTTGGACGTCGGTGTTTCAGTCTTTTGGTGGGCTAAATTTGCTGAATCTCAATTAGCTGATTTTGGACCATGCTAAAAAGGCCAATAGAGAGCAGTCTAACGAAGACAAATGAATCCCCCAACTACAAGCAATCGTCTAACGAGGCTAGCTGATGGCTACTTGAACTTCTCAAAACAATTTGCACTGATAATGTGGCAGCAGTATAATGCATCTAACAGCTGACCATGACCTTCTCAGCTATGGAAGCATCGATGCTCTCTTCTTTCGCAGAAGGATACGTTAGAGACCTAAAACCACATACTCTCATCGATCAACTGCTGACCGTTTTCGTAGGCCCATTATCTAATTCAGTTGAACTTTTTTTTAAAAATTTTTCCAGCGCTCTCAGAAGCCAATTTTTTGCACTGTTGCACTATTAGTTAGAGTTGCATGTCTTGTTCCACGTACCCTCGGACTATCCTGCAAAAGGATGAAAGAATTAAGCCTAAAGAGCTAACTGTTCTTTATGAAAAAATAAAACATCACAGGGCAGTCCTCGCCCCGATTAGTCAGACCCATCTGGCTGACTGATAGAAGTTACGTAATGCTGTCTGACCTTCTACCTCCCACTGCGGTGAGCCAACTAAACAAGATTGTTGGAAAAGCGATGTTGAATTTGCAGTGCAGGTGACAGGAATCAGAGACTAATGAATGAACCGTACTGCACCAGATCACGGAGGCCTTCGATCCATCTTCGAATTTCGCGATCAAGGTTCGTAACGTTCACCAATGCGCACGTGACATAACGTCGCAATCAGATGAGAAAAAACGGCCATGGTCAGATGTCAAACATGGTCAGATATGAAAGCAATCTGTCAGCGACCGCTCTTTCACCTGAAGGATTTTAGTGATCTAGTTAACAAGAACTGGACAACTTCGAAATAGACGCTAGATCCATTCGGAAAGTATCCAACAAACAACTGGAGAAAATCGATAATGCGGAGTATTCGAAATCTCAATTGAATACACGTAGTTTAGAAGGAAACGAATATCCTTTGCAACAGCCTCAAAGAAGAAGTATATAAGGGCAGTCAGATGCGTATGTGATTGTGCAGTCAAAACGGATCACTCCTTCGTGAGCGCTAAATCGACTGCAGACGAACCATATCCGCGGAATCAGTTTCTCACGTACATCACACATGGCCATTGCTCGTATCCTACACAACCGATTAGTCGATGATATTCCTAGACAGCAATGTGGATTTAAAAGCGGTCGATTTCAGATTGACTTAGATCCCTCCGTGTGGAAAGCCATGCGAAGCGTCCTGAAAGGAATAAACCACTTTATTTTCTGTCAAATGGAAAAAGGTTGGAACCGATTGAGAAGCCATTAATTCATAAGAGCTTGGTAAACAATCGGTAGATTTTACAGTAAGTTCAGACTAAATCAGTGTTGAGTGTCAATTAACGGCTCTTGTCGGCCAGTGTGGGTGCCAAAATCTTGAATCGATGTGTTGGATTGGAGGAAATTAGTTCCGATCGCTTTCCGTTCCTTAATCTTCCACTGCAGAGTGCTTCACCTGATGATTCGCCTCGGGTGCCGCTGTTAGATTTTCCTTAGTCTTTGTGGGGTTGTGAGTGTTCCGACAATTTAGTTTGAGGGAGTTGAGGTCAAGTGGAATCCAAGTGATGACTACTCTTCCTACTGATGACCGCACACCAACACGTGTCAGCTCGAGTGACCCAAGACCGTTCTCCACACGCTAGCCAGTTCTACGCCTTCCATTCTGTTGACGCTGGGATGCTTGGCGATTTCTACCGCCTCGGCGATCAGTCTGTGTGACGTGGACCGTAGTCCTCGCCTCAAAACCTCAACATTTTCTAAATCTATTTTGTGTCCTGTGTCTAGTGCGTGTTCCGCAATCGCCGAGTCTTTCAGTAACGCTTGATATTCATCTGCGTTTCTCGGCGGCCT